CTCCTCCCTCCTACTTGTGCTCTTTCTCAAATAAATAAATAAATAAATAAATAAATAAATAAATAAATAAATAAAATCTTAAAACACACACACACACACACACACACAGATTGTGGAGTAAGAGCAATGGGAAGTCTTGAAGGGTTTTAAGAGAAGAAGGAAAAAAATATTACGCCAAAATTTGTCAAGTGGGAGTTTCTTAAAAACTGTTGCAATGTGGAATCTGTATTGGTGAAGTTTCCCATACTCTATTGGTCTATCTTGCACCTTGAATGAATCTTTTACACTTACCTGATTTTGTAACATGCAAGCATTGCTCATTTGGAAAATACTGGTTCAGTGAGTTACACACATCTTCTACAATGTTAAAATATTCCACTGTATAAAGTATTTTTAAAAATCATGTTTGATTGGCACTCCTTTCGGCCCAGGGCGTGACCCTGGAGACCCGGGATCGAGTCCCAGGTCGGGCTCCCTGCATGGAGCCTGCTTCTCCCTCTGCCTGTGTCTCTGCCTCTCTCTCTCTCTCTCTCTCTGTGTGTGTGTGTCTCTCATGAATAAATAAATAAAACCTTTTAAAAAAATAAAAATCATGTTTTTAATATCCTAACTGATCTCATCAGAAATTCTTTAAGCACTGGGATGCTGTCAAACTCATGGTGGCAGATACAAATTTTCCAAATTTCTAATGTTCACTTGGAAATATATCATTGTATCATTCACAACAAATACTGTTATTCTCCTTGAAGTGACAGGATCATCTTGTTTTTGAGAATACAAATACCCTAAGTCTAAATAACCACAGCCTTCAGCTCTTCTTTCAAGTTAAGATGGAGCAACATGAAATAAATGGCTAGTCCAGACTGTAACTCAATTGTACAGGTGTTTTTCCTCAAGACAACCACTCTTCTTCAGTACACAGCATGCTGTATGTATACTTCCCATTTCATCATACGAAATAATTAAAAAGCATGTGTTTAAAGGTCAAGATTTAATTAAACCAATAATGATCATTTTTGCAACCTTATTAACGACACTCTTAAGTGAAATTGGCTTTTTTTTTCTTTTTTAACTGCGAGTGGATTGCAATAAAGATTACAGCTACTAGTAATTTGTAGTAGTTACTATAGTAAACTCTCATGATTTGTGCTAGAAGTCAGTTTTACCTGCTATTGCTCTTGTACCATTCACGCATATATCAACACAGTGAAAAAGGCAAATAATGTCTCAATTTTATGAAAACAGTTTTGTCTTCCAGGACTCAACAAAAGGTTCCCTGGACTCCTTCTCAGGGGTCCACAAACCACACTTTAAGAGAAATGCTGCCCCAGCAAAATTGAGGGATCATTATTTACTAGCTATGTGATCTTGGGCAATCCACTAAACTCTTTTTAATGAGATTGGTTTAAAAAAAATGATAATATTCCCCTTCCTCCCCAACCAAGAGTTATTATCAGTGTTAAGAGATGTGAAAATATTTGTATTATATAGCATCAAAAAAATGTAGGAGCGTATTAATACTTAAAATGAGTGGTATTATTAGTATTTCAGCGGGACACCACTGCATCCTGAAAACCTGATGGTGACCAAATTTCATATATTTTTGTTTCTGTTGTTTCTCTTACTTACAACCTTTGCACTTCATCTAAATTCAGACTCTCATAAATCACTGATACAAGCCTGATTTGTTTTCATAAGTGTTGTTGCTAGCTGTATCTATTTTTATCATTCCCCCCACCCAACCCTGATGGGTCAAACTCATTTAGGGCTGGCTTTCCATTGAGTATGTCTGAATACGTTCTTTTGTTTTAGCTGAATAATGTCTGATTGTGTTCATTTGTTTCTTTCACCTGCCAGAACTGGCCTCCTCACTTCTAGTTACTGAAATACCATCCTCATCCTTAGAAGTCCAATTAAGTCAATCTTTTGTGACCACCCAAACAGGACAATCTTACTTCTCTGAATAATTGGCACTCAATTGTTACACCAGTTATCTTCTCTTGTGCTTGCATTTCCTTAACTAGACTGCAACCTCTCTGAGGGTTAGGTACATCTTCCATTCTCCTCTGCATCTACTAGCACAATGCATTAAGCCTAGCTAATGGTCCTATGTATACTCCACCAGAGACCAGTACCAATGAAGCACTGACCTTCAGAGCCAAATAAAGACCTAGAAACTATGGTAAGTTTAACTTGCTTTACAGGCCCAAGATCTATAATTCCTGTCATATATGGTTCTTAGACAATGTTTGTCTTCATAAGGTTTATTCAAGTGACAGAGAAAGGATTCAACATTACAGCTTAGAGTGTAATTATTCCATAGGCAAAGTGTACTTCTCAAAGTGCCCAAGATATAGCTCTGAGAGGAAAACAAATGTACAATAATGTATATGAAAGTTCTTAAGAAGATCTATGGTAAGCATCTTTATAAAAAAAGCACTAAAAAGTCTTTAAAAACACATATTTAAAACACACAAAAACACACACAGTGCAAGAGCATAAAAAATTAACTGAAATGAGGTCTCTTGGATGGAACCGAGTTAAAAAAGCATAAATCCAAGATGCAGATGGCAAAAAGAAACACTAGCTGTGAGTTGCAGCATTTACTATTTTGCCAAAAGTCAAATCAAATAGGCAGCAAACCAAAGGCAGAAGCTCCGCCCTGAAAAAGCAACAGCAACTGAAAGGAGGAGGCACCATCAAGGTAACAAGTACATGGGCTTTGGCATCAGAATGAGCTGGATTCAAATCCTACCTCAGAAACTATGAAACGAATGAAATCACAAAATCCCTCTATGTCTCAGAGCCCTTATCTGTACAATGGGGCTCTTACTGTCTGTCTGTCTGGTAGAGTTTATAAAAGGATCAGAGATCATTCAGAGTAGTAAAAAACACAGACTTTGAAGTCAGATGGGTCTCGGTTACAAGTGACTACTTTCAATAGGTTTGATTAACTTTTGCCTCAGATTTCTTTTTTTTTTTTTAAGACTTTTTATTTCTATTTATTAGAGACACAGAGAGAGAGAGAAAGAGAAAGAGAGAGAGAGAGAGAGAGAGAGAGAGAGAGAGAGAGAGAGGCAGAGACACAGGCAGAGGGAGAAGCAGGCTCCATGCTGGGAGCCCGACGTGGGACTCCATCCCGGGTCTCCAGGATCATGCCCTGGGCTGAAGGCGGTGCTAAACCGCTGAGCCACCATGGCTGCCCCAGATTTCTTATTTGTAAGATAGGTATAATACCACCTCCTCAGTGCTCTGGTAGAGCATACATAGAGTAACGTATAGATATTCTGTGAAGTCTTAAAAGTACACCCAGTAAGTACCCAATAACTTGTCTCTACTAGACATACATAAATATATTCATACATATACACATACCTCACCTTGCAAAGTGCCTGCCATGTTACAGATACTTAACAAATGTCAATTATCATCATTATTTCCTATCAAAAATTTCATAATGATTATAAACTCAACTGTGGTTTTATAGCCTAATATACCCAATCTACATATGATTCATCAATCAGAGATGAATGGTAGTTCATTGGTTATTCAGCTATGAATTCTTCAAGACAATTCAGCAAGTGGAAGCAAGAATAAACATAAAATGCTCACTACTACACAGAAAGCCCAGAAACAAGGAAACTTTAGATGGAAGAAGTATAAATCCATATTAGACATATAAGATATGCATTCTGTAAATTCGCAATCCTGAAATCATATGCTTATTTGCTGATACAAATCATTTATTATTTTATTTTTCTGCTAAAGGCAAAATAAAGGCATAAATTTAACTCTTTTCTATAATTACCCTTCATTTTAAGCCACCCTACCTGGAGCTGTCTTGGCCCTAGACCAATTTTACTGGGCTACAGAGGGAGAATTATCTTGCCAATTCTTCAAAGACATTTTGAAATTGTAAGCATGGGACGCCTGGGTGGCTCAGTGGTTTAGTGTCTGCCTTTGACCCAGGGCATGATCCTGGAGTCCCAGGATCAGGTCCCATATCAGGTTCCCCACAAGGAGCCTGCTTCTCCCTCTGTCTCTCTCTCTGTCTCTCATAAATAAATAAATACAATCTTTAAAAAAAATGAAATTGCAAGCATTAAGAAACTGCAGCAACCATTTCTTACTAGTATTCTGTAGGACTGCAACTGTTGTATTCCAGTTACTGGAAAACACTTACCTATCTCTGGTTATCTTTTATTTTGTCTGTCTTTCTTGAAAAGGAGTTATGCATGAGTAGGGTTTTAAAAAGGGGACGGGGGGGGGCACAAGTATTTAATGTACCAAAAACACTTAAATGAAAAGCCTTTCTCCTATAGCAGGACAACCCACTGTTAACAGTTTTTTACATTTTGCCTACTTACAAACTAAACTGAGTAAGAAAAAAAAAAAAGGTCAATTCTAACACTGAAAACTGAATAAAATCCCAGGAATGTATCATTTATGAGGTATGATAGATTGTCTTATTTGAAAACTTAAGAGTGCACATCCAAACATTTTAATAATGACCTGAGTATAGAATATTCCCTTTTGTCAAACAAAGTCAAACTGTCTACAGTAAATAGACAATTATGTCTCCATGAGAACAGCAATCTGTTTCAATACTGAATATTACGGAACAATTGTGGTAAGCTTTTTATGTCAGAAGTGCACTATTAACAAAGATAACACAATTCTGTTTTCAAATAAGAGGCATGTCACATACCTGGAACCTTACTCATACAAAAGATGTTCAAGTCATGAACAAACTTTTGGCAAAATGAATAGTAATGTCACATGATACTTAAAATACTTAGTGATATCCTTCCTTTTAAAAGTTAAAAGACAAAACAACTTACTTAAACCTTCACCACCTATATGCTATGAAAAATCCAGATTTTCAGTTATCCTTAAATGGGCTCTATAGGTACACTTTTGTGAAACAGAAAAGCATCATTTTTATATGTTACTCTCTTATTAAGAGCCTTGCATATAATTTCATATGTTCCCAAACTTACCTTTTCATTTTTCTTATCTGTCTCTAAGGGCTGCTTTGCTGTAATACTTCGAGGAGTTTGGACAAGTTCCTCATCAGCCACTTCAACAGTCCGTCCATTTGGCTGCATGAGCAATATATAAGAATCTTGTTATCAAACTGCTTGATAGATCAAACAAAAGATTTATACTCAGGAAACAGAATATACTACAACCAAATTCCACCGCCCGACCCAAATTAAAAAGGTTTCTGTATAGCCATGTTATCTAACACCTGGACTACTGTTCATGGTAACTGTGTTTCATAATATAATTAATAATGAACCTATAAATAAAATACTGTACCACAAATATATTTTCCGATCTTACCCGTATATCAGTTCCTCCAACAAAAAATAATGGAACGAAAGCAGGAAAAGAGGGAACCAAACTGTATTTGCGCTCTAACCACCAATTAGTTGTATAATCTCAGAACGTTTCACTCATTATCTTTGAATCTTATTTCCATATAGATAAAATGATAGGTCTGATCTACTCAAAAGTTGGCATACTTTGTCAGTAAAGGGACAGGAAATATTTACACTCTGTAGGCCACATCATCTCTGTTGCACTACAAAACTCTGCTATAGTAGTACAAGGCAGCCATAGATCTAAATTAATGAGTGTGGCTGTGTTCCAATAAAGCTTTATTTATAAAACAGTGGTAGGGGGCCAGATGTGGTCCATGTACTTACCACAGTTTGTTATATTATCTTTAATGTCTCTTGTAATTCTATTGCCTAAATCTCTACTGTTGTGGGATTAAGGAATTTACCAATCTGCTGCTACAACTTAAAAAATCCACCTCAGCTTTAATACTTCTAAAATAAAATTATAGCTCTTAGAGGTGCTCATGAATAAATTAAGTCTGTGAATTCTTCTAAATCTGACTTTCAATCAGAATCACTAAGTTTTGGGGGTTAACCTCCCCCCCTCCCCAGTAACATTTCTGAGCCCTATCACCAGAAATGTATTGCGAATTAGGAGTTTGAAGAATGAGGTCCAGGTATCTGTATTCTCACCTCTTCTTTCTGGATCCTACTACTACTACTTTTTTTTTTTTTTTTAAGATTTTTATTTATTTGAGAGAACGAGTGCATGTGTGCGCACACATGCGTACACACACACATGGGAGAGGGCAGAGGGAGAGAGAAAAACAGACCCCCAACTGAGCAGGGAGCCAGACAGAGGCTGGATCCCAGGACCCTGGGATCATGACCAGAGCCGAAGGCAGCCACTTAACTGACTGAGCCACCCAGACGTCCCTGGATCCTACTTCTGCTCACTTGCCTATGCTCATATTCCAACACAGTGAGTCAGTAAATCAATATACGAGTTTCAGTTGCCTTATCTTCCAGTTCTTGCAGGATAGACTTCCACCAGATTACTCGTTATAGTAGAGCCATACTCAAGAGAACAATATGAATGTTCAAGTTTCTATAATGTAACTTGTTTGTTCAAAATTATCAGGTATATACAATTAGAGAGACTATTAATATTCTAAATCCCAATTGGTAGGCTTCCTCAGATTAATGGCAGAAAAACCAAAACAAAAGCAGTCTTCTAGCTGATGGATTGCGTACTTAATCCCAATGCAATCTGCCGGCTCTTAACCAACTTGTGGAAGTCAGATGCCAAACGCAGGTCTCCTTACTCTTCATCTGGTTTTCTCTCTCCTGTGCTGTTCTGTCACTTTCATGCTGCTTCCTCTAGCTGACCTTCCTGTATAGGTATATGCCTGTGTGGCAGGGGTTACTACACAGAAAAAGGTAAGAAAACCCTTATCGGAATCTGGACTTAGAGCCATAACCACAGCAGGAATATAAAACTGCTTAATTCTACTTTCTAACATCACCATCTTACCTGTCAATTCTCATATGCTAGTTCTTAGTTCATACTGTCCTCTTTAGCCAAACTTGTCCCGATTTCCTATGGTTGACTTTACCTTTCTATACAAGCCTTATGCCACCTGAGTAATCCTGCAGCTCTAATTCCAGTTTCCCATCCCGAACTGGCAGCTCACAGGCTTACCTTTGTAAAATTTAACTTAAACCCTTCAGGAAACTTTCCATCATAGTCACTTATACAGCACTTCCATTCTATTCACGTAAATGACTACACTGAGTCATTTTAATTTATTTATTAAGTGCTAAAAGGTGAGAAATTAAGTGGTTAAAAGTGCATAAAAAGTTCAGTGCAATTCCTTTGAGACCAACTGCAAACACTGTTGATATAGCCTCCCAGATGAAAGATGAAATAATCTTTCCTCTTGAACAAATAGGAAATCTGGAGTCCTCTAATCAGTGACCCCGTTTCCATTTCATAGACTCTGAAGTGACCACCAAGCCAGAGGTGGTCCCACACCAACCTGTGACCATTTTACTTCCTTCTTGGCAACAAAAACAAGCAATTGCTGTAACTGCAGCTGTTCCTTTGGTCCGTGCAGATTTCCCACTGTTCCGCTAACTCTTGGGCTTTCTATAGCTCTTACTACTAGTGGGAGTCCGTAAGTCAGCAACAACTCCCCCAAAATGCCTGATAACATGAAACAATAAGCATCCTATCCCAAGAATAAAGTCAACAGAGCTCTTGGCAGCAGGAGAAAAGGACACATTATGGTGGCTGTGCCCTCTTCTACCCAGCAACACCAATCTGTCCTCTTACTCTGCCACTAGCTGGTCAAGAAGGCCCGGTCCCGGAAAATCGTTAACCATGCTTAAATCAGCAAATCCAGAAATGGAAGCATATTATGTAGATCTGCTCACATGAAAACTAACTGCAAACCAACACTTTAAATACAACCTGACTGCCAATCTGGGTTTTACACAAAGGTATTATCTTCTCTCATCATGAAGCCTTAATATATATGGTGTGTTTCTACAGATTAACCATTACACGGGCCTCTAATTGTACCCTAGTATAAAATTTTCTAGAAAACTCCGAGGGTCCCTTCCAGGACTAACCAAAGTTAATTTCATATATGGCATACAATCTGTATTTTAAATTAGACAAGAACATCCTCCAACTCTGATGAAAATCAACCAGTAACAGAAAAGTAATATAATCATTTCTTATATGGATAAACTCCTTGTAGGCAATGCTCTATCTGCCTTATTATTATACATTTCCCAACTCCGACGCCACGTTCTTTTAAAATCTCATTCATGAAAGAACACTGTGTGTGTTTGGAGGGGTGGTGATGTATCAGAATGAAAATACCTAGCTGACAATCAAGAAAATAAAATGCAGGAGGGGGACACATAGCAGTGGAGTAGGGGCTCTTATTTAATAATGCTTGATTTAAAGATATTAAAATTCTTCATGTTAGTCAACCTTCAAATTATTAATTCTATACAATTCCATAAACATTTATTAAGCACTCCAATACCAGGCACTGGGCTAGGGACCCCAGTAACAAGGATAAATGAAAAGATTTTACCCTCCAGGAGTTTTTTTTTTTTTAAAGATTTTATTTATTCACAAGAGACACAGAGAGAGGCAGAGACAAAGGCAGAGGGAGAAGCAGGGTCCCTGTGGGGAGCCCAATGTGGGACTCGATCCCAGGACCCGAGGATCACGACCCCAGCCAAAGGCATACGCTCAACCACTGAGCCACCCAGATGCCCCCTCTTCCAGCAGGAGTTTTGAGGTTCAGAATAAGATGATGTGCTTAATAACAAACACCTACTCCATTTGAGCAGCCTATACATGTTTGTTAAACTGATTATAAACTGCAAAAAAATCTACACCTAAGATAAACATATATAGTTTAACATTTGACTTCTAAAATGAAACCAATTAGAACACTATTTTCATTTATCTATATAAATTTTATTTCTATATATAAAATATATAAAAACCCTAACATCAAATTACTTGGAAACATCTTAAGTTTAGAAACTAGAGGGGCAGTCTACCAACTACCAAAAAAAAAAAAAGGAAAAAATGAGTATGAAAAGACCATGGGATTGGAATTGCACAAAGCTGGCATTAAGACTTAACTTCTAATATAAATAAATAAGACTTGACTTCTAGGGGTGCCTGGGTGGCTCAGTGGTTGAGTGTCTGCCTTTCACTCAGGTCATAATCCCAGGGTCCTGGGATCGAGTCCCACATCAGGCTCCCCTGCATGGAGCCTGCTTCCCCCTATACCGGTGTCTCTGCTTCTCTGTGTGCCTCTCATGAATAAATAAAATCTTAAAAAAAAACCTTCTATACTATGATTATAATAAGCATTTTCCTTGACTTAACCTTTGATTTCATTATCTATAATATAAATGAAATATGTTCATGTCTTTTTTTAAAAAAAAACCTGCTTATAGTTGAAAATTACATCATATTCACTTATGTTCATTCACTCGACATAGTAAGTGAACATAATAGAGTAATATGTAGAACCCTTAAAATCTTGAAACAAAGACTAGTGAGGCACAATCTCTGCCTTCAAAAAGCCTAGAACCTAGCAAAAGGAGGAGGCAACATTAAAATACAAGACAAAAGGTATACTCTTACCTCTTCTCCCTACCCCTCCAACCTTACCCCTTTAAAGGAAAACAGTATGGGATCTGAAGGCAAGCTGAAATCAGGGCTGAATTCCCAAATGTGTGCCACCCTGGACAAGTTACTACTTCACTGGAGTTTCAACTTTCCTAGCTCAAAGTTATACTGAACACATAGGATGCATACGTATATATATATTACTCCCTTCATACAAAAGATTAAAAAAGGCAAGATGTTAAGGAAATTCAAGGAATATCACTGATAGCTGATAGATCAGTCTATAACAATTTCCAAGTATCTGCCAAGTGCCAAGCACCTTGCCAGATGCTTTACATGATCAACACTTAATCTAATGAACTGAGACCTTGTCTCCGTTTATTTTAGGTTTGAAGAGTTCTGATACAAATTCATGATAGAACAATTCCTTGTTATTTATTTGAAAGCATAAAACTGGCTTTTTCTGTCAAATGTCAATATATCAATTACGTAAACTAAACATACCATAAACTAGTTTCAGTGACAGTAGTTTACCAAATTATTTTTAAATTCAACTCCAATTTTAAACTCTGAATAACTGAGAACAATC